CAGGGTCGGAGTGGGGGAGGGGTGAATGGGGCGGGGTGAAGGGGGGGAGGGGTGAAGGGGGAAGGGTGAGGGAAGGGAGGGGTGAATGGGGAGGGGTGAAGGAGGAATGGGTGCGGTGGGGTGAAGGAGGGACGACCCCCCCCCCCCCAGGCTGTGGAAATCGTGGCAGTGACAGGCCGACATTTGCTCACTATTCAGTTCGCACGTTTTCACGCGCAGTGGCGGTAACGGTGCGTGGAAATGACACGTGTGTTTGCAAACACAGAGTTGGGCACATCTGACCAGATGCTGGGCACAGCCCAGTGATCGCTGGCGCGGGGCGCCATTGCTCTCACGCCATTTCACAGAGCAAATCAACCGCAGGTGGCCCTGCGACGCGTTGGCTATAGTGTCCAAACAGTAATATTCCCATGAGCCTTACGCTAACTCTTTGCTTCTAGCATCATGCCCTGGGCCTTTCTGAAGCTCTTACATTTGCTGTCTAGAGGCTGAAATGCTGTCAGATAGCTCTTCTACCTATAGTGCCGGGGTTCTCAAACTCCATAGCACCATGCTCCCTCTGACAACAATTACTACACCACCCCAGGGCGGGGGGACCAAAGCCAGAGCCTGTTCAAGCCCCAGGTTGGGGGGCAAAGTTGAAGCCCAAGGGCTTCAGCCCCAGGCAGGGGGGCCTGTAACCTGAGCCCAGGGATGAGCCCTGCCACCCACGGCTTGGGCTTTGGCCCCGGGCCCCAGCAAGTCTAACATCAGCCCTGGTGACCCCATTAAAAGAGGGTGCCAACCCACAGTTTGAGAACTGCTGCTGTAGTTGTTAATCATGCTTATCACCCCAGTAGCTGAGCGCCTTCCAGCCATGCATTAAGCACCATAACTAACATCTGTCTTGTGGTGGTTTCATGCTGGTGGGATACAGCTGTGCATCTGGCTAGCAGCAATGACATATTCCAGCTTCCGGAGGGCTCCAGATAAAACTAACTTCACAATGAAAATCATAAGCCCTAATCGTTGAACACTGCCCCCAAGACAGCTCTGGGGAGGGGGCTGGCTGCTCTGTGAGATGGCTCTCTGCTTTCAGCTGGGAAGGTGCCGGAGCGTGAAGGAGTTTGAGAAGCTGAATCGAATTGGGGAAGGGACCTATGGCATCGTGTGTAAGTGTTGTATCTGCTGCAGGGTTCAGCAGCGGGAGCTGGTTTGCTTCCTGCAGTGGGGGGTGCTGACAGCAATACCTCATGCCCCAGGACACTGGAAAATACTCAGTGGCACAGGTCCCTAGGTGTAAGGGCAGCCCCAGCACAGGCTGAAGCCCATCTTGTCTGTTCCCCAGTGATGAACACATCAGTTGGAGGGAGGTTCACTGTTACCCCCCTTCCCCTCCCCCAGTGTTGAGAGGTGATGGTTAATGGTTCACTTGGTGACCGGTGTCAGTGGTGGATCAGGCATTCACTTTGCTGTGAGGTATTCGCTTTGCTTGTGTTCCAGGTACTGACCACATGGTGTGTGTTACTGTTTCAGACCGTGCTCGAGATACCCAGACAGATGAGATTGTGGCACTAAAGAAGGTGCGGATGGACAAGGAGAAAGATGGTAAGGGGAGAGCTGAAGGGGAGTTGCTCTTCCTAGGAAGCTCTGGGGTTTTAGGGGTGGGGAGGGATCTCTTAAAACACTTCAGAAATGAGCTTAGCCCTGCACAGCCACATCAGAGCCTCCGGTCAGGCCAGGGGACTGGAGGGGGAGTTCTAATGCGTGACTCAAGTACCACTCTGCAGGAATCCCCATCAGCAGCCTGCGGGAGATCACCCTGCTTCTGAAGCTTCGGCACCCCAATATCGTGGAGTTGAAGGAGGTTGTCGTAGGGAACCATCTGGAGAGGTAACAGTCCCATAGTACTGGCTCTGCACCTGCTCTCCCTTCGGGAGGAATGTCACAGTATCTCCCTGCCCTGGCCAGGAATGGTAGTTGGATGACCCGTGGGGGTGGGGGTGGTCAGCACAGTGGAACTGCAGTGAGGTGACTGACTGTGGTGTGTGTCTCCTGCAGTATTTTCCTGGTGATGGGTTACTGTGAACAGGATCTCGCCAGCCTTCTCGAGAACATGCAGACGCCCTTTTCTGAGGCTCAGGTACAGGTGGATTGTGCCGGTGCATTACAACTCCCAGCTGTAAGAGGGTGCTGTGGCTCTAGCCATTGCGAGCAGGCTACCAATATACTGCTCCACCTACAGCCAAGGATGCCGATTCCAGCGCAGAGCATTGAGGCATTCTGCATCGGTAGTGTCAGTGGAGCTGGTGGTGGGCACTGGGAGACAGATGCCAGTCTGTAAATTGGCTGCCAGTCATCAAGTCACATGACCTGATTTCATCATAACTTAACGACCTCTGTCCTGTCTAGCATAGGGTAGAATGATCTAACCCCCTTGGCCCTCTGTGATATGGGGCATGGCCTGCTGCCTGCATTAAACCCTGTTTGCATCGCTGCAGTTAGAACACCCCTTCGTTATAATGTTTTGAGTCTTGAGCTCCAAACTAGGGCGCACGGCTTTGCATTGACCTTGAGCTTCTGCATAAAATGAACCAGGGCATAAGCTGTCAGCAGCTGTTAGTCAGATCGCTTAATGCTCGACTGGAAGGCACCGAGATACTGGAGTGATGAGGGCAGGGTAGGAACCTTTGCAGATACATGTTAAGTACTAATGTGATGCTGTCTTGTTAATCCCGTCTCCCACCATGCGCAGGTGAAGTGTATCATCTTACAAGTACTCAAGGGCCTTCAGTATCTTCACGAGAACTTCATCATCCATAGGTAAGGGGCAGAGTGAAAGGTACTGTGGGTAAAGGGATTCTATGGGAGGGGCACTGGGTAATGGACTGGACATTGGGAGCCAGCTGTGCCACTTGGGCTGTTTCCTTGGCTCTCAGGGGGGCAGAGGGAGGCCCTCTTGGAGCAGCAGGTACTTTGGGCAGCATGGAGCGGCCCATGTGAAGCATTGCCTCTAACACAACCATCAGTAACTGGCTTCTTTCTGATGGCAGGGATCTGAAGGTGTCTAATCTGCTCATGACGGATAAAGGCTGCGTGAAGATAGGTGAGCTCCCTTGTCACCTTTGCTGATGCAACTCCAGAGATGCTTCCAGCTTTCTCATTTTGTAATGCAGAGGCAAGGGCAGTAGGTGGCCTGATTTTTGACCTTGAATCTGCCCTCTCTTGCAGCGGATTTTGGGCTGGCTCGTGCTCACGGAGTGCCACTAAAACCAATGACCCCTAAAGTCGTCACCCTCTGGTGAGTGGGCTCTGCTTAGTCCTGAGTGAGTCACCCTATCGTGGACCCCCTCAGAGGCCGTGGGTCAGCCCTGCAGTCAGTCTGGGTGAATGAGACAATGGGAAGCATCTGGGAGCTCCACCGATTGGTAATTCCTGCATTCATTACATTGCACAGGTACCGGGCCCCAGAGCTGCTGCTGGGAACGACGACCCAGACCACGGGCATAGATATGTGGTAAGGGGGTCTCGTATTGGAGAGTAACGCTCTGGCCAGGAATTTGCAGTTATGAATTCGCAGAACTAGCTGGGGGACAGCCAGGGGACCAACGGGGTCAGGGCAACAGCTCGGTTCTTCAGGAAGCAATGTTCACATCTGTATAAAGATCTCGTACTGAACCAGGGCCAAGGTGGGTCTACAGCAACACGAGGGAGCTGCTGCTGGGGACAAAGGAGGAGGCGTCTGATGCAAGGGATTCGTGCGCCTGT